GTGGTTGCAGTAATACTGAGCAATACGTCCATCTTGTTCCGGCTGGTCTAAAATTCACAGTTAAATGTTGATACCCCCGATGCTCAAATCCCCCGATACTCGCCTCTCTTGATGCTCCCCTCTCCCGATGCTCCACTCCCCACAGGCTCTACTCCCCCGATGCTCCACTCCCCACAGGCTCCACTTCCCGATGCTCCACTCCCCACAGGCTCCACTCCCCCCGATGCTCCACTCCTCCAATGCTCACATCCTACGATGCTCGACTCCCCCGATGCTCCACTCCCCCGATGCTCCACTCCCCCGATGCTCCACTCCCCCGATGCTCCACTCCCCCGATGCTCCACTCCCCTGATGCCCCACTCCCCCGATGCCCCACCCACACAGGCTACCCTCCTTGGATGCTACACTTCCCCGATGCTCCACTACCCCGATGCTCACATCCTCCGATGCTCCACTCCCTAAAGGCTCTACTCCCCCAATGCTCCACTCCCGACAGGCTCTGCTCCCCCGATACTTTACTCCTCCAATGCTCCACTCCCTTGATGCTCCACTCCCCCGATGCTCCACTCCTCTGATGCTCACATCCCCCGATGCTCCACTCCTCAAAGCTCCCCTCCCCGATGCTCCCCTCCCCCAGACAGCTTTGAAGGAAACCCTGTTCTCCCACTTCTTGCTGTTTAAATTCAACGAATCCTTAACGGAGCGAACGTTACTTGCATCATCAGTAACATGCACACAGTCGCTCTTGCTAAAACAGACCTGCTCACTTGTCTTTGTTTGCTCTTGTACCACTAAATTCATCATCTTCTGACTTTCTAGCCACCAACAGAGTATAAGCCCTCAACCAGCTCACGCAAATCGTTCTATCCTTCGCTATCGTATACAGCTCTCCCCATGTTACCCCTATCTCTTCAACTTTAATCTCTAGCTACCTTCTCCGTGTTTTTTCCTCTCTCTTCCTTTATTTATATGTCCCTGTGGGTTCCAATGCAAAACCTTCTTGTAATATTGTTCTCAGGTTATCTTAACCAGTGTCCTATCCAACGGCAGCATCTTTTCTTCCCCTCGTGGTCCTCTGCAACGTGTTTAGTTGTCTACCAACGCTTTGCATTAGTAGTTATATCAATTTAATTCGGTATATTCTGCGCCACTAGATTGCTAAAGCACAAATTTATAGAAACAGTAAGAAAAGTAAAAGACATTTTTTTTTAAACCATTGGCAGATCAGACAAACGGAGCAAGACTCATATTTTATATAAAGCTATCAGCACACGATGGGGAGATTTGGCTAACAGCACATAGGCCGACTATATGTCCCAGGTTATTTCCTGGTACCCCTTTTCTACTCGCTTCACTGACAAAACTAGGTCTTTAAAAAAATCGCCTAGCTGTGGATTTGAAAAACGTCAAGAGTGTAACTCCTTCAATGTCTTAGAAAGGCTAACTGTTATTTTCCAACCGTGAACGTGTTATCATTCACGTTTGTTTTCGGGATGCCGCATACCGTGTGTTAATGAGTATAATTCAAACTGGTGATCCAATCCTCCTGCGATGCACTTGCATTACTGTCATTATACTGTCTGCCACTGTCGATGCTGTCTGAATGTACCACATTTAAGGGCGGTGTAGACAAGGGGGTTCGCGAGCCTGAGGATGTAGGACCGCATGGCTAGTGCGCCACCGCCGACTGTGCAGGTAATGATGTTTAGTTCTAGCAAATCTCCATCACCTTGAGGGGGGAATCGAACCCGGGTCTCCCGCAAGAGAGTCTGACGTTGTCACCGCTCGGCCAGCCGCTCATCATTGTAATTATAATTACCACAAAAAATGGGATGCCATCGACGTCACCACATGACCTGGCAATAAGCGTAAAATGTCGTGGTTGGCCTCCTCATGCGATCACTAGAAAGACTAGTACACTTCCCATCGAGGACACACTCTTACAGACCCAGTCAACCACCTCCTCACACAAACAAACAGATTATATTTAGACTTCGTAGAGGACACAACAGACTGCATAAATATCTATAAGAGATTCAAAACTGTGGATTCAAACCTGGCCCATGTGGACAGCCACCATAGAATACTGAACATGTGCTACAGACATGCTTTCTACGTACAGTGCAGATCCCAATTTTAGCTGGTAGCCATTCTGATGGAAACCACGCCGTGTAAAACAGAGGAAGACAGGCGTCGCACCCAAAATCTTCACAAAGGCTTATGACATTCTCCTTTGAAAAACTCTGGCAGGGAGAACGGAAAGAAAAGAAGAAAGGAAAAAGACTAGAAAGACGGATCAGCCTAGTGGTCGTGTCCGTCTCATACCGTGGTAAAGTCAGCAAGCTATGGAAGCTTGACTTGCTTTGACATCTTGAAGACATAGTATGTCTTTTCTTTGCTTCTTAGTTCTGACATACAGTTTTGATGACCCCAGTCATTGTCATTTAAGTCAAATGGAATATGCTACAATGTATAATGTAAGTCACAGAATACATTGTTTTATCTCTATTTTCATTTGGTCTTCAAATCTGATATTTTCCTATTTCAAAACCCAGTTTATATCATGCAATCAATCACACATAAGTAACATGTACTTAGTAGAAAACATAAAAACAAACAAACAAACGCAAGGCTTGTGAGAAAACTAATTTTGCAAAATTAAATTTATTGACTCAGCATGGCACTTAAAGGACAAAAATATCTGCTAATGTGTGTGTGTGTGTGTGTGTATATATATATATATATATATATATATATATATATATATATAAGATTTTACTGAAGGTTATCAATGAGTCGTCTGTGAATGGAATTTCAACTTTTCAAATTAATAGCTGATTGTAATTAATTTGAAAATTTTATAATTTTTTTATAAATTTCCCACAAGCCTAGTAGATTGCTTTGTGTATATTGAAAGAGAGTTAATGAATGAACACAAATATTAGTTTCATGCGTCCAGTTGCAGCAGACCAGTTAATACCAAATTAGAAAATTGTAGTAAAAAGATTCGATTAATTTCTAAACTTCTGAAATCCAGATATCTACAGATTAAGTGGCTGCACTATCAATGATGATTCCCAAACAATAATAACAATTAAAACTGGAAAAAAAAATAATGTTTATGTAGTCAAAATTCTATCCAGTTGTCTTGTGTCATACACTTGTTTTAGTTCATAATTACGGTTAAAATACCAATAAATTATCAGACGGTTATATTTATGACCCGGTGTGACATAGTTATAAATTCATGCATAAGTTTAGAAAGATAAAATACTTCTTAACTGGCGCAGGCTATTAAAAGAAATCATAAAATTGTTTGGATTGGATAAAATTAAACACCCGCGGACGAATACAGTGAACTCTTTTTTCATTTAGTGCTAACATTAACTGGAACCCGTTATCTAATTTAATAACTGCAATATAGTGTACACATTTGCAAAATTAGGAGGGAGTGGGTGAAGAGGAAACGAAGAAAAAGACAAAGTAGTGTTGGAAGTATACACACATATACATGTACACACCTCCGTTCCTATAGTTTGAAAATTTGACTTTCCGAGTGGGCAAAATCAAAACCGCTGGAAATTTAGGGGCAAAACACTAAAGAGCATGTACAAATTACCTGGACAACATGAAAATATCGTCGGGTTGTTTAGAAAGTAAAAGAAAGCTTGTGGACAGAAACTATAGGAAAATTTCAAAATACGACGGTAAGATATGGTTTAATGTTAGTGGTAATATATTTTCTTTAAAGATGTAATGTTAACATATCTGTGTATTATGTTGTTTATGTCCTGTAACAGTTGACATCACTGCACATCAGTCATTACGATACGTGCTCAGTCTTCCAAAGAGCAGAAATGGAATGCTTTCACAAAGGTTGCTGTTTTGGGCTTTATTGCGATTTGTTGTTTTGTTAGCTTTTTTAAAAGGGTCACCAAAAAAGATAACAAACATTATACGAGATGTTTTGAAAAGAATTATTAAACGACGCAAAAGTGTGCCAAGAAAAAGGACAAAGAAAGAATATATAAGTAATTTAACTCTTCAAGGACTCATCGTCTTCCCAAACATTCCTCTTTTAACTGTTATGTTATATAATGATATAATAATATGTAAATTCAGATACAGTTCTCAACTTAGGATGACACAATTTCAAAAGATAGTGAAAAAGCAGATATTATTATGTGTATTGCAATGCAGTTTATCCACTATAGGATTGCAGTCAGAATTGGCATTCTACATGCACAGAACTCGGAAAGCCACCGTTCAGCCACAAAGTTATATTGGGACCCTGACGGTGTCGAAGCAACTAAAGTAAGCACAAGGCAAGTGTGAAACTATTTTGTGGAAGAATTAATAATGCGCCTACTATTCCAATATTTATTGCATTATTTATTGCATGCTCACATGTTTTCAATTTTTCTACTACTTAATTTAACGCCGTTGCTAGGTGACAAACTTTGAAATTAAAAAGTGAAAAGAAAATGAAAGAAACAATTCTGTAATGACGTGGCACCAACACTGGCCCAACACCCAGGTACGATTACAATTATAAGACCTAGAGACTGGTTTCCAATAAGAATTAAAAAACGTATAAACAAAGCGATGCCAAAGAAATCAAAGCCCATCCTGCTCCCACCTGCAAGGGTAGTCTGCCGTTGCCAGTTTCTGCCAAGCTGTTGGGGCGTCCTGCTACCGTGTCTTCGCTGGTGTTCTGTCCAGGAATGGAGTCAGTGTTCATCTTCTTAGTAGAACTGGTTGTGGTGGTTTGTTGTCCCATAGCGTTGCTGCTTGGTGCTCCAGCCGCTGCAGCGGTGGCTCCTGCTGTTGTTCCCAAAGAAGTAGCATTGGGATCTTGGGGGATTTGGTTGGCCGCGTTAGGTCCGGTAAAGGAGTTAGGATCCGGTTGGACTGGGTTTCTTCCATTCATTTGAGTATTGGAATTAGAGTTCTGCAGGGCTGGGTTGGTCATGTTAGCATTGGGAAATGCGTTGGAGTCC